TTTGGTGCTCAGAGATTATAGAGGGAGGGGCAGATTTTCTGTTTAACTTGCCTGTCAGTGTGCAGGGGGCGAGAAAAGAAGAAGAGCTGTTCACCAGCTGCTTTAGGAGCTCAAAAAGCAATTGTGATGTCCCTAATGAAGGGCTGGGGGCACTGCTAACAGCCTGGATTGTCCCCACCTGTGTTCCTCTCCTTACCACAGTGCGGTGTAGATCCGCAGCCTTGTACCTCAACCTGATGGTGCAAAAATGCCCCCAACATCCCTCCGTTTGCAAAAATAAAGGCTTTGTGCTCATTAATATGAAAAGCTGTAGGGGTGGCCTGCACTTAATGTTCTTTTGTTGCCTGGAGCCCTGTCAGTGCTCACATCCAAATGACTGACACAGCCTCAAACTGCTCTTAAGACTGATTTGATCAAAGGGACTGGAAGCTCTGTTGGCTACAAATGCTCTAGGAAAACCAACACAGCAACTAGGAGAATATTGGTGACAAAAGCAGAGTGCAGAGCTGAACCTTTGAGGCCACCTCACTGCTGCCTGCCCCCACCCTTTTATTTTTAATTGATTTAATATTCTGACTGCCAGTCCTTGCATGAAGTGGGCCCTCAGCAAGGAGTTGCTGGGTCTCCTGGGTGTGTCTCTTTGTGCTCCCAGTGCTTCTGGTCTGCTCTGGCTGAGAAACTTGTCCATCATGCACTCTGGGGCTGTTTCCTGTCATTCCAATGCACAGCCCTTTCCTGCTGCTTGCCAGAGAAATACTCGGATTATTTTATCAGATAACTTACATCTTGCAGTTCATGACATTAAATTGTGTTCATCAGACTCTGTCATATCACGAGTTTCTGAAACACATTTTCAAGCCTTCCAGCTGCAGCCCAAGGGAAGCTGTTTCTGTCTTGCATCACAGAAGTGGCAGGTGTTTTACAAAGACAGCCCTTTACAAAGGACTTCTTGCTTGCATTAACATCCAAGGAGCTCCTTTCAAAGACAGACAAAAAACCCATGAGCAAACAGCAAACCAACCAAACAACATATTATTTTTAGCTCTTGCTTTTAGTATTTTCCAAGCTGGCCTCCTTTCCACTGCAGTGTTTTTTCTTTGGACAGAAAAACAGCCTTGCCAGATGATGTGACTTAATAAGGAAACAGAACTTACACACAGTGGATAGATTACAGCTAAACATGCAGAGCCCCATTATCACAGACATCATCATTTATTTTCTGTTTATTTTTGTGTCAGATGGTTTTCAGAAGGCTTTTGAGAAGAGTATCTCAGATGCCCTGGCTAGTTTGGTGCCATAGCCACTTCTTATCTGCCCCTTCTTATTACCTGTCTTATTGTAGTTCCTCTGCCCATTTGTTGCTCTTGGATCTCTGCCTCCTTCACCTGATTTTTATCTTTTTCTGGATTTGTGGGGCTTTTGGTTCTGGTTTATTTTTGGTTCTGATTTATTTTTGGTTCTGGTTTATTTTCTTAGTGGTTCTCTTAGTGGTTTTCTTAGTGGTTCTTTTCTTTGTTTGTTTTGTGGGGTCAGAGTTTTGGTTTTGTTCTTTGGTTTAGTTTTTTCCCACTTAACAGTCGGAATCAGCTTGTGATTTGTATTGTAAAGTTCTGAAGCACAGGTGTTGCACATAAAGGTTGGTTTTGTTTTTAAAGTCATCTCGGACACAGATCTGCAAGCCCCTGTGACCTTGAGGACTGTGTGCTCTCAGACAGCAAATTGTGCATGAATAGGAAACTCGTAGTTCCTGTCTCCATTACACACAGCAAAATGTAAAGGGCTTGGAACAGGACCAATTCTAGCCTTTATTCTGCTGCCATGCCATAAAACGGTGTCGGATTCATCAGCGAACTCTCTTCTTCCAGGATGGGCTGTGCAAGGATGATCCCTTAGCTCCTGTGTGGATGTGCTGTGCAGCAGGCCAGACGCACGACTGTCATCCATAGCCAGCCTCTGTCTGCAAAGAGAACAGGGAGCTGCAGCTCGGAGGGGCTCAGGGGTTAGTGAGCACACACACCAAATCCCTAATTTATATCAGTTACTTTACAGGAGTGTTTGTTGCTGGGATAATTTTAAATTCCAGCCCAGAGCTGGAAAAAAAGAACCCTGGCAGTTCGCATAAGCTAGGAAGGGAAGAGATTCTTTTCAACAGGTTCCAGCTCTGCTCCTTGTTTGAATTAAAAGCAGAGCCAAACTCTTCTGTTGGTCACATCAAGCCAACATAAGTTTAAACAGTCTGTGAAAGACAGAAGAATGTAAAAAATTATTTCATTTTATAGTACTTAGAGTCTTGTAATTCTGCCATGGGCTAATTCTGCCGTAATTCACGGTATCAAATAACTGGAAAAAGAAGTGGAGAAGAAGATTTTTAAAAAAAAGTTAAAAAAAAGTGACTTAATTTCCTATATGTTCTAAGTGCATATTCTATTATTGGCTTTTCACAAATATTAAAATAAAAGTTATATGTGTAAGGTTAGAAAACTTTGTGCGTTAATATAGGTTCTTTTATTTCTGTTATTGATGAAACTTAGAAATACTGGTATAATACATATAGATGTTAGGCAATAACATGATATTTAAGCACAAACTACTTTTGTTTATATAACCCAGAGACTGAAAAGATAGTCAGAGACCCCCCTGCATTCTTAAGATTACCTTGGCCAGAGGAAGACAGCAGTCCTCCAAACCCTCCAAGAGAGGAATTTATTGCACCCGTTATAGGAGAGGGTAAAACCCAGTGGCATCAAAACGATTATCTATAGAGAATAGGGGAAGTTAAAAACTAAACAAAAGAACACCTAAAAGTTAAGAAGAATGTCTTAATTATGTATGAGAATTTATGACTATGTAGTAGGGTTCTGCTTTTAAGGGACAATCCTTTATTAACAAAGTGTGCTCTCTTAGCTGAACGCAGAGACACCCGGCCACATCTGTATATTTTACTTTATCTCCTACTTGTCTTTCTATTAGACTTTTAAATTCTATTTAAAAAAAAAATGTGTACCTCATTTTTCACAATACACAAAGCCATGTAGTAAAAATATAGTAATTTACACTTTTCAAAGCCCTTTGACACTGGAGCCCTGCAGCCTAGTCACGGGCACCATCTCCATCTACTGAAGACGTGCAAGCAGTGCCGGTCTGTCGGCACGTCCCAGCCGTGGCTCCTGCCGGCGGCCCCGGGGTAGGAGCGGCCCCGGCGCTGCCATGGCGGGCTTTCCCTCAGGTGTGGGCGCCTCCAGCCCGGCCCGGCCGGGAGGCCCTGGCAGTGCCACGCCGCACGGCAGCTCTGGCACTGCAGCCTCGGCCAGCCTCGGCCAGCAGCGAGATCTGCGGGCCGGGGCCCAGCAGCGGCCGCACGCTTCTCCCAGAGCCCAAGCAAGAGCCGCACGGCTCCCGAGCGCAGGCCGGGAAC